CCTCGATAAGCAAATTGTTCCATTGAATGGATGCAGATCACGGTACAGCCGGAACATTCTAATCAAGTCAATTGACGACAGAGGCACATCCAAAAAGGGAGGCCCACAAAACTGGAGGTAAGTCAGGAAGTAATTAGTAGAGCTTCATTGGCAGCCTCTGAAATCTCCACTACAATCGTAGGGAACGTCAACAAACTCCGTTGCAAGGGCCTGGAATCTTTATTGCAACCGTCTGAAATCGACCAACCGGGAATGTCAGCAAACTCTGTAGACATTAAAATGCACGAACCACAATTTTTTTTTCTTAGGAATTCGACAGCTTGTGATTGCGTACATTTTTTCCTCGGTTTTTTCTTAAGCAAACCACCCCTATCTGTTATATTCTAAAGGAAAAAAGTGAGGTTAACATATCTTGCACTTCTGTACCGTTAATAGTGTGTAAACGAACATTATACTTTAAAATACAACTACGCAAGTGTACGTAACAGAAACGTACAAAAGTCAAAAGACGGTAAATCCTTTTGTATGTTTTCCTAAAATTGTTCTAAGCTACGGAAAAGATTAGTAAATCACTGAAAAGTCATTTGAATACACCAAAAAATCAAGGCAAGATTTTTGCTAGTAGCAGCAGAGTAGCATCCCCATAGGTTAATCTGAAAGTGTCGGATCAAAAAGTATAAACACGCATTTGAATACATTGTGCTGTAAATTTTCAGGTTTGTGCTGTAAACGTCAAAGTAAGTCTGTTTGTTTTGATGTTTTAGTATGGATTTGACAGTCGGATTAATAAGTCAAAATCCGATAGTCTGGAATGATTTTGTCGAATGAGCGGGAGTATACTGTACATACCAGGCTAGGCCTGGGTGTCCTCTGCACCGTACACAGAAGTCGTCTCCATTCCACTCGATCCATGGCTGCACGTACACACTAAGATTTTTTTACAGGAGTCAGTATTTTTTTACTGTGTTTTTGAATTACTGAAAAACTCGGTTAAAATTCAAATGACCGTTATTCGTAAGGATTCAATAAAATCGACAAATTTTATTTTTCATCATTAAACGGGTTTAACAGAAGTAAGTCTGTAAATTTTCGTAACACATTTTCGCATCTTTAAATTTTTCATATATTTTTAAAATTTTACCGAACAGTTCCGCAATTCAAAAACTCGGTAAAAATTACTGACTGGATGAGTGTGTAGGGACCACCTTAGCTACAAAGCAAGACTTCCCTGGGCATTGAATGTGATTGCACTTGCCGCACAATTATCCTAATGCAAAAATGGTACAGGCTTAGAAAGCTCTCAATTAGCAACTGTGGAAATGCATCTAGAACACTAAGTTGAGGGCCGGCTTAAAGTCTCAATGGGAACGTAATAAAACCAAAGAAAAAGATGGTTGCTCATCGCCAGCCTCGTAGTCTGCGAAGGCTCCAACAAGTCTCCTTCCACCATGTCCACTCTGAAAAAACCAGCTGTTTTCGTAGCAGCAGACTTTAAGCACCGACCAACCGACATGAATGATCATACAAATTACAAAGAAATTTCTGCTCAAAGCACAAAACTGACATCTGCCGCCGTGTTCGCGGAAAATATTTATCCTTGCCTCGAACACGCGTACAAAATTTATGAGTTGGTTCGTGTCTAATCTATTTCGGACAAATTATTTTTATCTAGATAAAACATTTCTATGGTTTTGACAGATGGAATCGCTGCACATTTGAATCGACCGTTATGGATTCTCGATCAAGAGTTAAGTTTAAGTTTCATGTCGGTTTGTCGGTGGTTTAGATCCTACTGACAATGTGCCACCAACATAATTGTCCATGGTAGAAATAAACGCCACCTCGTTTCCACTAATGACGGTCGCACCACCCATTTTCTTGCGACCAGTGCTGCAAAATCTCGGCAATACACGGCGATATTCAAAATTCTGCTTTGGTCACTAATTTGAGCTAACAGTCATCGTCTAGGCAAACCATGCCAATTGTCAGTGACGAACACGTGCATTTTTATTAGCTAAAGTTGTAACGAAATTAAATGACTTGAGCAAAACAATTACATGGAACCGTTAAAGTGAACAAGTATCTACGTTCTGAACTGCTTGGATGACAATAATGTGACACAGAATGCACGAAATTAAACGTTTTGTTGCCAGGTGAATCTTTGTCATTGACGAAAAAAGGAATGAGATTTTGACAAAGGTTTTTTAAGGATCAAATATATCAGTGACTACGTGATAAACCATTTTTTTCAATATCACGCGAAAGTCTGTCAATGACAATTACAAATCTCAGCACTGCTTGCGACCTTTCAGTAAGATTCCAGTTTTTACTTCTTTCCAATTCTGGTTCTTTCACTTCAGATTAACGATTTTGATAACGTCCAAATCGACACGCTTGTGTCCAAAATGATCGTATCCGTAATACTTGAAGCCAAAATTTCTTCCAGTAAAAGCCGATTCACAACCTCTCTCTTCATGGCTTGAAGAATTCTTGTTTGATAGTTTTACCGTTTTACTAGTTCGTCCAATGGTCGCTTCTTAACGTATTCGAGAGTCGATAGAGCTGAATGGTATTCAGGGCTATGATGACTGCTTCATACGACTTCGACAAGGATAGCAAAAATTGGCATACATGATATGTTTTCTTCAAGGGCCACCTACATTAGAACTGAATCGGACACGTTACGGCAAAGTGACAGCTAAATCTATTGTTTAACTGCCGAATTTACGTCAACGCAACACAAACGGATCTAATGTGGGTAGCCGTTCAGTTTCATGAAGAACCCCATACCCGAGCAAATGATCGAACTATTCCACAAATGTTTTAGACGATACCCTGCACACGTCGTTAAGCCAAATAATTGTATGAATATTGGGCAAAATAATTGTATTGTATTAGGGACTTTATCAAATTGTGACAGGAACGTCTTTACACTGTCGACTTCCTTGAGCCAAAACTCTTGAAATTGCTGCCACGCATGCTTCTTATGCAGTACTCTTGTTTTGATCTTATGAGATACGATGAACTAACATGTTTTTACATTTCCTGTTTCTAGCCTCTGCTTATTCAGTAGCTTCTTCTTCCGTTGTTTTTCCTCAGCATTGTCATCCGGAAGATAACCCAACTAACAGTTTTAGCAGCAGATCAGCTTATACAGGCAAACATTGCGTTATGCAGCTAGTTTTTGCCTGTATAAGCTGGACTGCAGCTGAAATTGTTTGTTGGGAAACTAGGCAGAGAAGAGCTTTAAATTGAACGTCTTGATTGATTTTATTCTTTGCATTCGAATTCACGCATCGCTTTGCATTAGTTTGCCATCGGCCTTAAGATTTGGAAAGCGAATGAATTCAAAATAATAATTATTCAATCTAATAAAAAAAAAATTACTGTATTGAAAACTCATGACTCGCTCAGGCTATTATTGATTGGTCAATAACTGGAGCATATTAATTTTGAACTAATAATAGTTTTTTTAATTTTTTTATTGGCGTTGACTCGGTACTCCTGTGGTAAAATTCATAAGCAAACGTCAGACTGTGCTTAGAACATAGTGGACTTCGTACTATCATAGAGGTAACTTTAAGACTAGTAGCATAGAGGTAACTCTAAGATTAGTAGGTCCCGAAGAAACGTGCTCAACTTTTTGTCTCAGCTCTGGTACTCTCTTCGATCCCAAGCTAATCGATTCACCCCTCGAAACATAGGAAAACCCACTAACCCCTCATTTTGTCTGTCAAACTTTCATAGCGAATCAAAACAAACATTGAGTAGTGTAGTGTCGATCATTGCATAGTTACCTATACTTGTATTAATCTTGAAGATATTATACCTGAACCAAATAGATACATTGCTGCTACCGCTGAACATCCCAACAAACAATTTTAGCTGCAGCTTAGCTTATACAGGCAAAAATTAGCTGCATAAGGCAAATTTTGGCTGTATAAGCTAATCTGCAGCTAAAATTGTTTGTTGGGATACCTTTGTATTAAGAAACCTTGAAGCAGAAATAAAATAGTTTTTGTCTATCCACGAACCGGAACGGACGCGTGTATTTATATATTAAAATTCCAATAAACCGAAACTCTACAAGTAGTACTAGAATTTCGACTAGAATGGGGTCCGTTAATCGATTTGCTTGGGACCAATAGGCTAGTCAAGTAGTGAGCCAATTTAAAATCGATAGTTTCGTATTAAGTTGGTACTATCCTTTCACGCCACCGAAAATTCCCATGAGAAATTATCAATCTTAGCTATTTAAAAGCTCGGCTAAAAGTGACTATTTTCCAACGGTGTCGTCAACGCCAATTAAATAAATGTGGCACACATCCCTGATAACATTGTTATGGTTATTTTACTTACCGACGTGTTCGGGTTATCATGCAAACCATTTGTGGAATAGTTATATCATATGGGTTATCATTCGTTCGTGGTTTCTTTTCTATTAGGGATGCCAAACTGTAGTTTACGGCAAGAATGAGACTACTTTACACATCAAAAATTGATTTCGTGTGAGCATTTATGAATTTAAGACTCTAATGTTTCAATAAATAGTAGCATGAAAGTTTTAATTATATTATTCCAAGTAGTATGGTAGTATTCTCTTTATTCAGAACGAACACACATGCAAAATAAAATTGCTGATACTCAGCGAAACCAGCCTACAACAAAAATGACTGGACAACCCTCGAGACAACCAGTAAACCAACTGTCAAATATGATTGCTGAAAAATCCAGTAAAATTTATTTTGAATAGCTTGGTTTCCAGCAAATTAAAAATAGTGTATAGTGTAAGAATAGAGCCCATAATTTCATTTGTCGAATTTTGTATAAAACGTTCGGCTGAATTATCACATTGATGCACCCCTTGTTCCGTTCCTGTCACGACACAAAACAGCTTCAATCGGAGCTTTAATGCTGTTTATGCTGTCAGCACTTCATCGACCATTCGGGTGTCCCGTTATGCTATGCTGTTCATTCATGCCGTGCATGTGTTTTGTTCATATTCTACAGTACTGTTTCACCAATAATTTTACGCACGTTTGTTTACGTCCTGCCAAACGATGAACAATCAAAAGCTTACTGCCCATTTAAAACTCAATCTTCAAGAATCAAACAAACTGATAAGCAACTACCGCTGGTTAATTGATGCGTATGTTTTAGTAAGTATTCTTTTATCAAATATCTATTAAATTTACATCAATTTGAAACATGATTGCTTCCAGGACTTCTACGTGGATAACCACTGGGACCGTCTTCCACCGTGCTGGCGGTCCTGTTTCGACGAGCTGGACGTTCATAAACTTAAGAATTTGCTGATACATGATAACCCACAAACGTCAGATACCCACATTTGGCCGTTGTCCATTCTAGCCTTACGGGTCCTTTTCCGGAAATATTGTCTGGCACGGAACCTTCCAGGTGAAGTGCCAAATTTGGGAGAACAGCTAGAGGAAGAACGATGCCGATTTTACGCTCAAAGAAGTTTATTCTATAAATCGGTGAAACTGAAAAAGCGTCACGAAATCGAGAAGTTTGGCGTGCAATGTTGGGAAACGGGTAGGAGGACGAAGGTCGAGCACTTGGTGGATATCGGTTCCGGACAGGGCAATCTAGCTCGCACTTTGTGCTACGGATTCGGATTCAAAGTGTGCTGCATTGAACAGGACGAAAAATTGGTTGAAGCTGCTAGGTTGAAGGACGAAGAGCTATCATCCCGATTGAAGCGACAGTTGAAAATCGAAACGTTGCATCACCCCATTCACCTGAGCAAGAAGGTAAATTTGGAGGAGATCGATCCAAGTCAATTCGTTCAAATGATACGGGATGCTTTCAACGTGGAAAAGGATAGCGCTTTCCATTTTGGACTCGTAGGATTACATCCGTGCGGAGATCTTGCTGTTTTCCTGATGAAGCTGTTCCTATCCTGCCCGGAGGCGAGGTTTATCAAATTGGTTTGCTGTTGCTACATGAAACTGACGACCGACGAGGATATGACTTCCAATTATGGGTTCCCCGTAAGTGCATTTAGCAAACAGCTGGGATTGTACTTGAGCTACGAAGCAAGGGAAATTGCTTGCCATGCCGTCGAGCAGTACCACAGCAAACTGGAGAGCGATTACCAAGAGTTGAAGGTTCACGCCTTCCGGGCAGCGGTGGAGAAAATTATCGTCAATCTCCGTCCGGACTGGAAACATTCCGGACTGAGAAGCACCAAGCTGGGCAACCTCAGCTTCCGGCAATACTGTGATAAGGCAACCAACGAAACTGGAATTGAGTTGCCGTCGACGGCGGTGGAATCGCCGGAAACGGCGAACGATCTAAACCACTGGGAAAGGGTGGTCAAATTTTACACGCTGAGACTGATGTTTGCTCCGTTGGTCGAATCGGTCGTGCTGTACGATCGGTGGCTTTATCTGCTCGAACAAGGTCAGTGACGAAATAGGCTTGGAAACGGTAATTTCTATAATGCAACGTTATTTTACTACATTTTACAGGAATCAACAGCGAGATAGATGTCATTTTCGATCCCTTTTGTTCGCCACGGAATCATGCGTTGACCGGGGAAAAATAACATACGGTGTACTGTTTAGCAAATGAAAGAGATTGTTTGTTTGTTGACATCGACATGAACTTTACACAAAATTGGTTTCCGAAATTCCACGTGGCACGAAGGTATACATACATATACCTATAAATAGACGATTTGTGTAAATGGGCTACTACCACCGACGAACCGACATGCACAGGAGCATTTCGTTTGTCCACAATTCGAATTGTCTGACGAGCGATTCGAACTTTCAAACGGGCGATCAGATCTGTCAAACGAGGTGAGACGCAAACCAAGGCAATCACCCATATTCTTGTTTTCGTTCGAACCGTATTTTCCATACAAAACACTTTTTTTTTGTATGGAAAATACAGTTCGAACGAAAACGAGAATATGGGGTAATATAAATTATACGTGGGTTCGTGTCCTTGCTCATGGTATGACGATCGGATGAGTAGATGTCGGTAGTGTTTAACGTATTTTAAATATGGCGTTTTGGGCACGAATTTGAAAGTAGTTTGTATGAGCTGTCACGTCGGTTCGTCGGTGCTACTACCCCATTTGGTATAATTCCGTTTAAGCTGATGCGGAATTTGTGTTTGTCGCGGATTTCGCGCGTTTTGATAGCTCATTGGCGCGGATTTTGCGAAATCACAAAATCAAAACAATTTAAACCATTTTTATCAGGGCTGTGGAGACGAAGTCGGACGCATTTTTAAGCATCGAAGGAAAAGTAGCATCTCCGACTGTTATGTAAAACAATTTTAAACAAAATTTGGTCCATTTTTAGCTTATCTCATAATCAAGTCGATTGGAATAAAAGTTTCCTTCAAGATAGGCATCAATACAAACATCACGTGGAGGAGCGCCAACACGGAAAGCCAAATAGATTACGTGTTATGCCCACAAGTAACACAATTCAATTATTGTTGCCGGCGAAAAACGGAAGAAAACTTTCAAAGAAGCGCATCGCGGGAGAGATAAAAGTCGAAGACAGCTGCAACTCTGTTTGCTCCATAATTTGTGCGACGTAGAGGCAGTCTTAGCATAAGGTTGTTACGAAGCGGTCGGGGTTGAACATTCAGGTCAATTTGCCTCAAGATAGCCTCGCAATCTGTCCTTCCTTGCAGGATATCGGCCACGGTTGTGTCCCTTCTAGTTCGGAGAAGTTCTAGGTCGATAAGGCTTTCATAACTGGGTAATCTAAACGGATTATTCCAACCCAATCTACGTAGCGCAAAACGAAGAAAGCGACGTTGTACAGATTCGATTCTCTTGGCACCGTTGTTGTAGTTTGGGTTCCAAACAGCTGAACAATACTCAAGCGTCGGTCGAACAAGCGAACAATAGGGAGATTTTAGACAGTAGATGTCGGTGAAGGTTTCAGCTATCCTAAAAATAAACCCTAAGGTTCTAGACGCCTTATCGACAACATATGCAATGTGTTGCTTGAATGATAGCTGCAAATCCAAGATAACACCCAAGTCTTTTACTTGATTCACGCGTTCGATTGTAGAGCCAAGCAGGTCATAGCTAAATATTATCGGTTGTTGTTTTCGTAAGAACGTAATAGCGGAGCACTACCATTCTTTTAAACTGCACCATCTAGCGAATGCATTCAGCTGACGTTGAAGAAAGTGACAGTTACCAATCGAGCGGATTCGTAGGAAGATTTTGAGGTCATCTGCATATGATAATTGAGGAACTTCGATGACCAGATGCACGTCGTTGAAGCACAATATAAAAATCAACGGTCCCAGGTGACTTCCCTGAGGTATGCCTGACGTGGCGAAGAAGCTAACTGATCTGCAATCTTCTATGGCAACCTTTAGTTGGCGACCGGTACGATACGATCGAAACCAACTCAGAAGATTACCGCATACACCGAGCCTGCCGAGTTTAGCAATCGCAATAGCATGGTTCAACTTGTCGAATGCTGCGGATAGGTCTGAATAAATAACGTCCGTTTGAACCCGATCCGACATGCTTTCGGTTATAAACGGTGTGAGACACAGCACTAAAATGCTGCAATGGGACAGCAACAGTTCCGTAATCACAAGCTCGAATAGCTTCGAAAATTCCTCGATAGTTATCCACAGCTCCTTCCCTTTTCGTGGACGGGAAACATGGGCGCAAATTTCCAGCAGGATGGAAATATGCCACTGGAGAGAGACATGCGGAACAGACGATGAAGCGGAATTAACAAGCTAGCAATATGTCTCTTAAAAATACAGATGGAACTCCATCAGGTCCAGGATTGAAGGATGACTTGAGCATAGTCGCGGCCTTGGAAATCGTTTGATCATTTACTGGAACGTTCCTGGCAGCTAGGGTAATATCAACCGGTGGAAACTAACGATTTTAAATTGGCTCACTACTTGACTAGTCTATTGGTCCCAAGCAAATCGATTAACGGACCCCATTCTAGTCGAAATTCTAGTACTACACTATGTTTGTTTTGACTCGCTATAAAAGTTCGGCAGATAAAATTAGGGGTTCGTGGATTTTCCTATGTTTCGAGGGGTGCATCGATTAGCTTGGGACCGAAGAGAGTACCAGAGCTGAGCCAAAAAGTTGAGCACGTTTCTTCGGGACCTACTAGTCTTAGAGTTACCTCTATGATTATATCCTGAGCGGTGGCAGCAACTTCTCCGTTGAATTCCATAGACGATGAGAGGTCGGACTCCCTGCATTGCTCGTTCACGTAGTTCTAAAAGGATTTCGGGTGTAGATTAAGTTTGCGCTGGATGCCTCGTTGGAAACTTGAAAAGCATTCACTCGCTAGTACATGTGATTCAGCCTCACATAATGCACTTTCAGAGAAAGCGTGCGATACTTCGTAAATCTTCTCAAAGCTGCTCTCTTGATTCACTTCAACCTACATACTTAGTTTTTTCTACCGAGCTCGGCTGTGTAAATCTCGGCAAATCAAGTTTTACTGCGATGTCAGCAAACATTTAATTTGTTTGCTGCGATTCAGCTAAGACTCATCAATCAAATTTCACTTTTGCTGATATCTCAGTGAATCTTAAGGCCCAAGCGCAATGACGGCGGAATCGGAACGGCAACGGCAGCGGAAAAACCCGATCTGAGTAAGCCTACTTGTCGGATTGAAAACTAGTTAGATCCAAATCGACTTCTGTTAAGCATCTTGATGTCATTAGTGTCTGTCAACTGTCAAACTTTCCGTTTCCGTTCCGCTTCCGCCCACATTGCGTTTGGGCCTTTATTTTTGCCGAGATTTGCACAGCCGAGCTCGGTAGAAAAAACTAAGTGTGTACGTAGCTCTCTCGCCTGCCAGTGAGACACTTTGTGGTGAGTTCTTTTCGAGGAGTGTCTGTGGTGGTTTACGCTGCAGCCTCAACGTCATCAGGATCAAGGATGTTCTCTCATACCATGCTAGACAATACATCTATTGTTGGGCGATGGAGTTCTCTTTCGAAGGGTCTTTTGAGCACACCTGGATTTTGTATTTCCGAGCGCAAGCTAAAAGCTGCAAGTTTATTAACAATTTTTTTTTTATGTGTTGGTACCTACATCGGTTCATCCTTACTATCTCCTTACGTACCCAACAAGAATAATTCCAGCAATGTTTCCTAGGCTATAAGGCTTATTCAATATATATTTCTTCAAATTTTGTTTACTCACGTTTTCATAACCCCAAACTAACCATCAGCTCTCCTCACGAAATGAGTATAAAACCACAGACAAACAGACGTAACTCTTCATTGTGTATCTTCGTTCATGCATTTAACGGTTGATTTGAATATTATCAGTTCCGCGAACTACTCGCCGCAGCGCTGGCATCGGATCACTTTGACGTTTCTATATATTCTATAGAACTTTTATGCAATATTGTCTACGAGTTAGCGAGCAAGCTTGTTTTCCGCGAGAAGCCAGAGAGATGTCGTTACTGAGGTTATATGTTTTGAGATACTATGTTTTCAAGAACAATTTTTTCAAAGAGTTACGTCTGTTTGTCTGTGATAAAACGTTCCCTGGTACTGTTAACCTATTCGGGTTTATTAGGAATTAGTTCTCGAAATTCATAGTAATTCGAACTACTTACTATCTTGTTTGAATTGCTTTCCTTCTTCTATATTTTTCTTTCAATCGTTTGACCCGAGCGCAGACTTAATCCCATCTCACGTCTTACAATTCTCACACAACGATAGTTTCAGCTGTCATCTTGGTCGTCGTTCAGCGGGTTTCATCCCAGGGGAGTCCAACTGAGGAATTGGTTGTAAGTGGTTGGCGCGAAACACCATAACATCTATTATGGTGGTCAGCTTTACGGAAGTCATAAGAAACCGCAGCAGGATAATCGTCGAAATCACGCACGAGTTTGTCCTCAACCCAAGGAGCCGAGGAAATTAATGCAACCCTGTGCTAAGTGCTCACGAAGGAGAGGTCCAAACTACGATCATTTTCGTTAACTACATGTTTAATTTGAAAAAGTGTCGCTGCGCTGTAGTTGTCGAGAAGGCTAATAGCACCGACAAACCGACATGAAACTTAAACTTAACTCTTGATCGAGAATCCATAACGGCATATTCAAATGTGCAGCGATCCCATCTTCCAAGACCATATAAATTTTCTATCTAGATAAAAATAATTAGCCCGGAATAGATTAGACACGAACCAACTCATACATTTGGCATGCGTGTTCATGGCTAGGATACACATTTTTAGCGAACACGGCGGCAGATGTCAGTTTTGTGCTTTGATCAGAAATTTGATGGTACTTTGTATGGTCATTCATTGGTGAAATTTAGAGCAATCAGGATCTGGATACAGGAATCCGCTGTGAGATGGACGTCACCGAAATGATTATCTCATCAACTGGAGTGGCACCTTCGATAACTGTGAAAACTGACCGACAGTGAGTATCGATGAGTTCATTGTCACGGACTCGATCAGGTGGAATGTGCAGTGCACATTAGACTGATGCAAAATTTGAAATTTTCGCTCCACAGTGCTCAAACGGTTCCAAATTGGGTCCTACTTAGCCTCCCAAAATTTGAACTACTTTAGTAAGAAACTGACTTGGCACAAACCATTTCAAGTTTATATGGGAATTACTATGGGAAAACTTATGTATTTGTTTATATTTATCTAACAATTCACCACATTACTGTGCTTTTAAAAATGATAGCAGTGATTGTAGCAAATTTTCTCAGCTACAACTTTGTTCAAAACCACTTTTCAATTAAATGCACGAAACAAAAGTTATTAATGATTCAAGTCACTGTTGTCTTATGATTATGCTTATTCAACTGTTCAGCAGGCAACATTGGTGTTTCTGGTGAGAAGAATCCCAAATATCATGGCTACTATGTCACACTGCAGAATACAGTGTTGCTAACAGAACATCTGCTTGATCATGCCATAAGATTATCAATCTCTTAAACAATTAATAACTATTTAATTTGACATTTAGCTGAAAAACGATATTCCGCAAAGTAGCTTAGAAAAATTCTCGTATGAAAATAGTTATAGAACTTTTTGAAAAAGCAATATGGAAAATGGGTAGAAGACAATGAACCAAAAATTTTGGTTTTCCCATAGTAATTTCCATATAAACTTCGAATGATTTGTGCCAAGTCAGTGACCATATGAGTTCAAATTTTGGGAGGCTAGTCAGGACCTGATTTAAAGCCGTTTGAGCACTGTGGAGCGAAAATTTCTAATTTTGCATCAGTCTAGTGCACATAGAAATAGTGTGCGATCATCCAGGATGGCTGTCCAAACCTGCTCCACATAGTTCCAAGAATCGTTCTCGATGGCCTTTCCCTCCACCGGTAGATTTACGGCTGTTGTTAGGTTTCCGATCGCAACGAAAGACCTCGTAGTCAGGACCGAAGACTTGACTGGAAAGCGTTCGAGAATCGAGCCAATTACATCGCAGCAACGATCCGATACAGCTAGGCGGTACTCTTCAACTTCCGAATTCATTCCACCGGCGTTTTGGTAGAAGAATCGAACGACTGTTCTCCCCGGAAATCACAGATACATCAGGCAATAACTGACCATCATCAAGTCTGATTGAATACTCGCCCCCTCTCCACATTCGACAGCAGCTGATCGCAGGACTGAGACGGAAGGATTGGGGGCTTCCATGGGGCTTTCTACGCCACGTTCCGAGTTCCCAGGATTAAGAGTTACAGAGGCATCATCACAATGACTAACATAGTCCGAATTGCTGAAAATTTGATCGGCTTTTTCTGGCAGTTAATAGTCAATATATTGATTGTAGGTACTTGCCTATATAAACAAGCTGGAAGACTTCTGATCCACATCCAGCTACAGGTCCAGGACGACTATGCTGAGCAACTGGGCTGAAGGAACCAGGAGCTTCCAAACGCGGTCTATTGTGCGTCCCGGCGATGAATTAGGATTGTTCGAACAGTAAAGCGGATGTTGTAAATTAGCAGTATCAGAAGTGCTTCTCAAAAGGAAACAGCCGGCAGATGCTTGAGAAGTTGCACTATTCCGTTTTCCTACCAAAATAATGATTAAAGAACCAAAAGTTTCCTACGTGAAGTGTGTCTATGTCAGACCAGATAACATGGCACCTTTTGCTACTACAGCCCTACTAACTTGATCTGCCAAGCCTCATCCTTAAACATAACACTACGCTACACCTACATCCGCTTCTGTCTTCTACATGCAACGCCAGCAAGCGGCATCAAATTGGCTCACCGGATCCAGACGTCAACCAGGATTGCGGCGACACTGATGTGGCCCTTACGAAGGCACAGGAGTAAGCACGAATTGTGGAAATGCTGGTTACCATCGCCGCTACTAGGCCAACGCCGTTGACGCCTTCTGCGGCCTCCTTCACGCACTGGTTCGATCTCGGCTGGACGTTGACCCCTTCCCACGACGGCTGTGCGGACAGCACGTGTCCCGGTCGTCGACCTATCGGCTGACCCCCGGATTTTAATTGTGTCCAGGCTCTACCGTCGGTATGGCGTGCGCCGGTCGCTGGACTCGTTCGGGGTGACAGCTATCGAGACGGGAAAAAGAAGCCCTACATAAAAGTGCGGTTAGTGTCACGCTTTTTGAGCTCCATGAGCAGGAAGAGCATACCTCTTGTTGAGGCTTCCTTTGTTTCCTCCACGTTGGTCGGGAACCAAACGATGAGGCCTTGTGTATGTCGTGCCAGTCTTCCCAGTAGAAATATTGGTTTATTGGTCAATCAAAGCCACTTAATTTGTGCCATTTTTGGTTACCTTTTTGCCAACTCGCCCTTGCGGTGCTCCACATTTTCGTCTGCTATCGGGTTGGTGCGGCGACGTGGCTCTTATGTTGCTCGGGAACTGCAGTGAAATAACCCGTTCTCAACAGACTTTCCACTTTCAATCGGATTAATGTGGCTCCGCCGATCTTCCGGAGCCCTGCAAGCGGACGCCGCCCGTTGGTTTTCGGCGCACGCCCACGTTGGTGGTCTGTTACTACCCTGCACTTTCACTGTGGGCCATACAAATTTTCACCGCGAACCGACGACTTTCACTGCCACCACGTTGGGCCACCAAATCAAGACTGTTCTGTTCCTCTTCGTTTTCTTCTTTCCCTTTTTCAGCGGAAACCATCTCGGTTCGCCTTCTTTCGATGCGTCAGTAGAAGACAGTGACAGTGACGTTGACTAATTTCTCTTTCTTGCCAATCTTGATAATGGCTGCGTTCTTTTTACTTCTATGTTAGCTTACACTCTAAAGGTTTTTTATTTGATTTAGAGTTAAATTTTGAACTGTAAACTGTAACTAATGTATGCATACTTGCCTGAAGACGATGACTGGGACACCCCACCACCGAACTCGACCGAAGGTTCAGAACGACGATGATGGCAGGAAACAGCTAACGCAACTGGATCAAGTGGTTCGAGGTCTCCCATAATGCGACGGGCAGTGTGTTCTGGTTTACAGCGTTCCAATTCACAACGCGGCATCCAATTCTGAATCAGCATACTGGGTCTAGCCCGAAAATGGAAGTTGAGAGCTCGGAAGGTCCCGGAACAGGAGAGATCGTGATGGTAGGCGTGTTCAAACGAAACATCCACATGTTTTTTTAACCGTCTTCAAATTCATGCCATGTATCCGATGTAAGAGCAACTTCACGTAGTTTGGGAGCCAATCCGACTTTGTACGAGATGAATCTCATACAGCTGATGTCGGATCCTTTTTTAACTAGCAGCACAACCTTAATCGGATCTTCGCATTGTACCGAGGGGGGGGCGACTCTATCTACGATGCAGGAAAGATTGTGTTTTACTGTGGCCAGCTGCGCGCACGCTGAGTAGATAGAAAGAAGATTGATAACGATTCTGATGATTTCCTGCAAAAAGACAATGTGCGATGCAAGTAGATGCGAGAAATGGAAGAAGATTATTCGAAGATTTATTCGCTACTGTGTTACCTGACTTATAACGAATATACGTTGTATACGAGTACCCCGAATACAAAGTATAGTTCGTCTAATTTTACATTGCAAATGCTCTGAAAAATTAGACGAGTCATACGTTGTATTCGGGGTTCTCGTATACAACGTATATTCGTTATAAGTCAGGTAACACAGTAGTGTGAGATTTTTTAAGCATCTACAATTGAGATGCAAATGTGTCGCTCCTCTCGTAAAAACTTCCATTTGCAATAGTTTATAAAATCGAATTGTAGCTGTGCAGCATTTCAATGTGTACAAATCCGACCCACGCATACCACACCAAATAGGAAAGCTTCAATCCAGACTTAACCATAGAATTCATTCATATCTCTGTTTGTAGGTACCTACCAACCTATACATAAGTATGAGAATTCATTCATACCAACAACACTGACTCAATGTGCCTGGTTAGGTTCAGTCGTCAGTACGCTCAAAGTTGTCGGACCGCGCAGTTAGACTCCACCTGAACACTGTTATAGACGTTGCTGAGGGAAAGCTGAGACTGTGTTGTGTTATGGTGTGATAACGGTGCTTCTCTAATCCATCATCGTAGTCACCACCTTTTCGTTCTGATCCATTTTTTTAAATTTAACGTAACTGATAATATCGATGTCCATACGCCAAAGTGAGTCAACAATCTCAAAGCAGTAGGTGGCCTCGCTTCTGCCTTGTTAGGGGATTTTACGTGGCGATAGGTGGGGAAAAACTATGCAAGTGTTGCAATGTTTACACAATGGCAGCGAAAGCAGCACCAGAAGATGATCTACATTCTGGTTCAAATATTAACGACTGTATGGGCAGTAAATAGCCAGCAGCAGCAGCAGCTTCAGGTAAGTTAGGAGAAAGGAAACCATTCATCACTCACCAGACAATAATGAAAATTGAAATAACACCTCTTTATTATTACCCTTTGCAGGTACTAGCCGAGGTGCCGAATGTTAGCGGAACTAACCTGCGGAACAGTGGATACGGTAATTGGCTCCGTTGGATTGTTTTTCTGAATGGCTTGGCACTTATTAGTTTATTTTATTTTTTTTAGAATACCAATATGTGGAGGATTGGCCAAAGCTAAGTAGGAAGCTAGGATCCGTCTCGGCGGTTGCTTTCGACCTTCGAGGGAACGTGGTCGTCTTCCATCGTGGATCGCACGTGTGGAACATTTCGTCGTTTGACCAGAAAAATCGATACACCTATGTTGAGACTGGCCCGATCAATGAGTCCACGCTTCTGAGCTTCGAAAGTGCGGGCGGTGATCTACTAAACGAATGGGGTGCTAATTTGTGAGTATCAACGTTATTCGAACTGAAAAGGGACATCTATTATCACATTACACCTTCTCTAATTTTAGCTTCTACATGCCCCATGGCCTCACGATCGATAAGAGCAATAATTACTGGCTGACGGATGTCGCCCTGCATCAGGTTTTCAAATTCGATTTGTCTGTTTCCAGCAGCGAACCGGTTCTGACGCTTGGCGAGCGCTTCGAACCTGGAACCGGCTCGTCCAGTTTCTGCAAGCCCACCTCGGTGGCAGTTCTAGACAATGGAGATTTCTTCGTAGCCGATGGCTATTGTAATGGAAGAATCATGAAATTCTCTTCCGATGGTCAGTTGATTCTCAATTGGGGGAAGAATTCGTTCGTCCTAACCAGAACGTTCATCCTCCCGCCGGGTCCAGTGCCGGAGAACTTCCTCGCTATACCGCATGCTTTGACCTACTTGGAAGACAGGGAACTCATTTGCGTAGCCGATCGCGAGCAAGGCAGAATCCAGTGCTTCCACGGTCAAAACGGAACATTCCATTCGATGTATAGCAACACCCAGATAGGCAGTCGGCTATTCAGCATCAAGTACCTCCCTCTGGACGGCGGTCTGTTCTTCATGATCAATGGGCCACAGTTCACGACCTCGGAACCGATCAATGGACTGATCATGTCGATGAACAACAGCGAAATAGTGGGTCGATTCTACCCCGACACGAATCCACAGAACGCTTTCAACAATCCTCACGAACTGGCAGTCAGCGCTGATGGTGGTCAGATCTACGTAGCTGAATTACTACCTACCAAAGTTCATAAATTCAAACGAAAAGGTCAGGTACCGAAAGTCATAAAATCGTTGGAGCATTACCGGTTTCCACCGTCTCCACCGATGGTGGCCGATACGCTCTATGCCAGCAGTCTGACGATAGTGTCCATCGTGGCCAGTCTGCTGGGAACCAGCTGCTTGATTCTTTGCGTATCACGAACGATGTGCTTCAAGTCGGGCGGTGGTTCCGGACGGAGATCACGATTCTCCACTGCCAGTGAGAACATTGCACTGCATCGCATGGGTCGAGAGGATGAAGAACGGGGGGAGGCGCAGTGAGGACTTTAAAATGTTTTTTTTAGTACAACTAATGCAACAGAGACAACATCACACATTCCGTCCTTGAGCAACCTGCTAAACCGCATCTGTGATGACCGATAAGGGACTTAAAGCGAAGAATTTTATTTATTAACGGACGAACATAAATAGCCAGCTTACTGGATTGAAAATCTTACAATATACTGGTCAGAACTACTTCTGTCTAAGCGTACCAAAAGCGTCAAACTTGTATTGGATAATTTTCCGAAATTCCATAACAAATGTATACAACCATCAAGAGCAACAACAATCAATGCTGTTGTTGTTGTCCAACGATGCAGACCAGTTATTTGCCTGTCAATCTTTGGTTGTTGCCGAGCTTCCTTTTAGGGCAAAAAAATCATCCGAAACCACTCCATCTTACATTTTGAGCACTTGTTTTTTATGCCTGTGCTTACATTTGGAACACTTGTTTTTTAGTCTTCTTCCGGCATGATGCTTCCTTTCCTTTCCATTACTTCACCTATTCCATCCATCCGCTGGTGTTTGAGACGACCATCACATCGTCGACTTAAACCGCCACAAAAAATAAAGCTATGTACCGTATGCGTGATAATGTTTGCACCATTGAGCAATGTCAAGATTAAAAAAAATCTCAAAAATTTTGTTTTCGAGTTTTTTTTTATTTATTCAAAGGGGGGATGTTTCTCAGAGTCTTGTTAACCATCGATCGAGTTTCCACTTGCTGCAATTACGGCCTCCACACGCTTCCGGAATGCACGGCAGGTTCTAATAATGTAGTCTGGATCGGGGCTGGATGGCGGCCACATATCCTTCGCCCAGAACGGAAGATGTTCCTGCAACCACTTCTGAGTGCGGTTCGAGGTGTGGCACGGAGCCCCATCTTGTTGAAATACAACATTTGGCTTCGGACCGTACTGTTCTTTGATCCACGGAAGAACATACTTACTTAAAATCCCTATGTAGACCTCCCTGTTGACCTTGTCGCCTTCTGGAATGAACACCGGCTCCATTTTGTTGCCATCAGAAGCCACCAATCCAAACACCATAACGCTAGCAGGATGCTTGGTCAGATACACGTTCTTGTGTTCGTCGGCCACGTCTTTTACCGGAAGAGAACTAATATATCGGTCGGTTCTGGAATTTGATACGGGATCGACGGTAAACAATCAAGATTTTCTTGCATTGTTCGACTCGTAGCTCCCGGATGCGGTTGGTAATCATGTGAGTTTTTTTTTCGCGCCCTCGACTTCGCCCTGCAATCTTCCTTTACGATCTTCCGTGCCGTAAAGTCACTGATCCCGTGTTACTTTGCCATTTTCCTTATTGAACGCACTGGATTCACTCGAATCTTCCTTTTGATAGCAGCGATAACCCTCGAAACCCGAGCTGACCTCGGACGACCTGTGGCCACCTTCGCAGATATTTGTCCTTTCTTTTCTCGGTCTAAAACCTTTTTGACGGTCCACCGGGATACTCCCACGGTGATTGAAATGTCTTTTTGCGACATTTGCGCGAGGGACAAATCACGAATACGCTGCCACTTTGTCATGACGCAACTGTCAAACTAAGTAAATCATTTTCTTTTATACACAGCCTACTACGGTATGTGCTATAGGTTACCTGCATGCAACGAAAACCCAGGCATTGTATGCACAGGTGGTTCCTGCACAACGCGCAAGTGTTTTTTCATGCTTTTTACTGCTCCTTAACAAATACCGCCCATGTGGGGGGATGACAGTGTGATGAAATTCCACTGTACTCCCAAACTGCTCACGTATTGGTCTACTTCGGTGTTGAATGTAGCTGACGCCAAAAGCTCCTTTAGCTGGCGGTCGGCACCAACAAAATTTGTGCAATTATCAGACCACAGTTGACTGGGCAAAGCTGATATGAAAGTTTTTGATGATAGATCGGTAGCCGCCTCCAAGTGCACAGCTTTTGTTGCAAGGCACACAAAAACTGCTATGTAGCATTAAATTTTAACGGTTTTCACAGATCGCAGTAGGATGGCCTTTATTGACCAGCATAGTCCAGTATAACAGGATGCTTCATGTGAAATGGCTGGTTGGAATTTTGTAATCTTCCTGCCACACGCAGTGTTCCATCTCCATCGATGAGAGGGAAAAGCGATTTGAGTTTACTGTTAGAAGGAAGTGGTTGACCTTTTCGAAGATGTTCGATATCGCTTCCAAACATCTGATGCTTGTAGATTGGCATCATGAACTTCCAATGGCTTCAGTTGTCCAGTAATCTTCTCAGTTCCTCGTAGCTTCCCTAGTGAGTTGACCTTGAATCTGTAGACCCACGCTAGCTCTCGTTGCGAATCCTTTAAAGATGTATTTCGTTTCAGGAGATATTCTTCAACTTTCCAGTCCGATGCAGGTTTGACAGCAGCTGTAACCGCCGAAATTGCTCTTCTTTGCTCCGTTGTGTCTTCCGTAATGTGTACCGCTTCTGTACTTTCCTTTCAGATGTCTTCGTTGTCGTACAGGAGGGACGGACCAGTCCACCACAAATTGTGGTGAACCAGCTCCGTTGGTAGCAAACCTCTAGATGCACAGTCAGCAGGATTTTCACTCGATGATATGTGATGCAACGACCTACGAGACAGGAAATCTAATATCGCCGATGTCCGATTTGCCACAAAAGTTTTCCATTTCTTGGGATGCGACGTGAGCCATACCGTTGTGTAGAATCCGTCCACGCGTGAAAGGTAACATCCAAGTGATCCAGTGATTCGAGAATCTGCTTCATGAGCTCCACAAGAAGAACGGCAGCGTTTAATTCAAGCCGAGGAAGCGACACTTGCTGAATAGGAGCAACCTTGGTTTTGCTCGCTACCAGCGAAATGCTGACATTGCCATCATCGTCTTTGGATCTGGCGTACACCACTGCTGTATAGGCTAATTCAGACGCGTTAGCAAATCCATGTAGCTGTAACGCTCCGTGGTGATTTACGATCCATCTTGGAATGCGAATGTCTTCAATGGATGCCAAACTTGCCTTGATGTTGTTCCACTCCTTGTTGATAACAGCCGGAAGTGGGTCATCCCATTGTAAGTCATGCAACCACAGTGTTTGGTACAGTATCTTGATACGCACAATTATCGGTGAGATCAAGCCCAAGGGATCAAAAAGCCGGGCTGAACCGATAGAATTTGTCGCTTGGTGTTTGGCTTGTCGATGACGAAATTCAAACGGAATCCGAAAGAGTCTGTGGCTGGGTACCAATGAATATCCAGTGCTTTTACTGCATCCGCTTCTGATTGTAAATTAACAGGGACTGAAGATTGAGCCTCGAGTTGAGCAGCGTTTGCATTCTCATCCAGCAGCCGGGAATCATTTGCTGACCACTTCCGAAAATGAAAACCTGCTTCCGATGTAATTCGAACGATGTCTTTCTTCAACGTGAGTGCGTCTTCCAATGTTGCAGCGCCAGAGAGGAAATCATCAACATAAAAGTTTTTCAGCACTCGATCAGCTGCAACTGGAAACTGCGCACGGGCATCACGGGCAGCTTGTCGTAAGGATTCAATAGCCAGAAATGGCGCACATGAAGTCCCGTACGTAAATGTCAGCAACCGGTAATGTTCAATGGGCTTATCGGCTGCCGCTCTCCATACAGTCAAGGTTGCAAAGACTCATTTCAGCTAAAACAATGTTTTTCTAAATTATGAAATAATTAGATGCCATGATCAAATTTTGAATTGGTAGGATACAAGAAGAGGTTGCAAAGAATGTGTTTGACATATTAAACCTGTTTATTTCACTTCATGAGAGTCACAATCAGCGATTTTTCACAAACTCACTCACTCACTCACTCACTCACTCAGCGATCAGCAAATCGCTGATTGTGACTCATAGAAAGCAAAATTTACAGGTTTTATGTTTCCAACGCATACTTTGTAACCTCTTCTTGTAAGTTACAAGTAAAACATGCCATCATACCATCTTTTGGTTTTATTATTCCGAAAAACATTATTTTAGCTGAAATGAGTCTTTGCAACCTTGCATACAGTACGCAAGTAATCAACATCGTCTCTGTGATGTGGAAGGTAGAAACTTTTCTCCGGCGAAACGTTAACCTCGTCGTCTGGAATCTTCTCCATGTGACCAAGATTAAGGTACTCGGTCATGAACTCACTGTACATCTGTTTGAAGCCTGGATCTCGAACGAATCTCCTTTTCATCGCCTTCAACCGCTGGATTGCTGCTGACATCGATTCACCTAATGCGGGTTTGCTTTCGTCGAACGGTAAACGCACTGTAAATCTACCAGTTTCATCTCGTCGATGCGTAGTATTAAAGAAATCCACTGCTTTTTGCTCCTCCTGTGTCAAAGGTTTCGGTCTGTTGACCTCTTCAACTTCCCAAAATTTCCGAAAAACCTTGTCGATGTCCATGTCCATGCTGAGACTGATGATGGCCGTGTTGTAATTCACCTCGCTGGCGTCGAAAACTTGACCGGCAACAATCCATCCAAAAGTTGAGTTGATCGCCACTGGAAGTCCCGATCCATCTTTTACCTTGCCATCTTCCAAAATAGCCAAAAAAAAACATCAGCTCCTAGAATAATATCGATTCTGCCGGGCTTGTCAAAATGTGGGTTCGCTAGCTGCAATGTTTAGCCGTTCAGGATCCAATCGCTGCTTTGGCCTTGATGTTGACAACCGAATTGTACCAAAAGCGAGAAGAAATTTCCAGGTCGACAACTCCTCTGGTGGTTTCCGATGACTTCTTCTTCTTCGCTTTTCAAGCTTATTGCATATCGCATATTAGCTTATTGCGTGTTCTCAACTTAGTGTTCTAGATGCACTTCCACAGTTATTAATTGAGAGCTTTCGATGCCTGTACCATTTTTGCATTTGTATAATTGTGTGGCAAGTCCAATCATACTTCTATGCCCAGGGAAGTCGAGACATTTTCCAACCCGAAAAATTCCTAGACCGGACCGGGAATTGAACCCAGCCACCTCCAGCGCCTTTCGTGGACAGAAGATTCATTGAAGACGGTGCACTCAAAAATCCTATGGCTTTCTGCGCA